ATGTCATTTTGCTTTTCTAGAAGAGACCTGGGGAGAAAAAAAAAACACTCTTCTCCTTGCTTGGCTTGGCTTGGTTATTAATATAATAATTATTTTTTAATGGAAAAAAAACACGCATTGGGGGAAAATTCACGCTGCATCTTGATATAAGTGGCAAGATTGCCAGGCCTAGCAGGATACATTATAAGATGGAGAACCCTACCCCACCCCCACACAAGCCGAATCAAAACACAGGCTCTGGTTCCACAGTTCAATGGGAGAGAGAGATCATGGGCATTTCCCCTGCCTCTGTTTTGAGGAAGAAACCCAGAATTAAGCCAGAATACCAGGCCTTGGCAATGCAAGAGGGAGATCCAGGCAGATGCTCAGACAGATGTTTGCATGTGGGGGGGGGAGTTCCCGCATTTTATTAAATGCACCTTTAGCTGAAAACCCAGTTCGGGTTCCTAGTTGACCTTGCATGAAATCCCCCCCACCCACCCCCCAAGATAAGCAGTGTAGGGAATAGTTTCCTACTTGGATAGGACACCCCCAGGAAAGAAGAAGACAGAAGGAGGAAGGAGGAAGGGGGGAAGGGGGAGGAGGAGGAGGAGAGGAAGAAGAAGAAGAAGAAGAAGAAGAAGAAGAAGAAGAAGAAGAAGAAGAAGAAGAAGAAGAAGAAGAGGAGAGAGGAGGAGGAGGAGGAGGAGGAGGAGGAGGAGGAGGAGGAGGAGGAGGAGGAGGAGGAGGAGGACGAGGAGGAGGACGAGGAGGAGGAGGAGGAGGAGGAGATGATGATGATGAATGATGATGATGATGGAGAAAAATGTGGCAGAATCTGAACCCTGGTGTTACCAAGAAAGTTGGTTGTCCTGTGCCCTCAAGAGCTGTCTTCTCCTGGAAACTCCTTGTTAATCTTCCCAACAGACAAACTAACCAGCATCTTGATCTGACTGATGAAGGAAAGATGCCTTTGGGGCATCTCTAGCAGGACAGAAGCTTCCCAACCTCTCCTCATTGCACCCTGCCATCCTCTCTCTCTCCCTCCCCCACTCTCTCTTTCCCTCCCTCTCTCCCTCCCTCTCTCTCTCTCTCTCTTCCCCTCCCCTTCCTTTTGGAATAATCCCCCTTCCTTTGTGAAAAAGGACAGGGAAATCCTAGCCCCAAGATTGGGAGAAGCTCCTGACACCTCCCCCCCCCCCATCCCTGCTTACCCACTGGCTGCAAAGGGCAGTCAAGGTTAAGCAAACTCTTTTTCCTTGTCATTGTCCAGCCTGTTTAGGGGAATTACTTCAAGGTAACTGGCTTGTTTTTAGCCTCTCCAATCCCCCCCCCCACAAGGCCTACTATAAGGTTTGATCCCTGAGCTTCCCAGTTTTTCCTAAGCGAGAGAGATTCGCTTGCGCTGCACGGGCATTTGGCTTGTCTTGGTAACCAGGATGAGCTTTCCTTGACCTTTCTTTCCTTTTCCTTTTTATTTTTTTCCCCCTGTCCTAAGGCTAAGAATGGCACAAACAGGAGGGAAAAAAGCCCTTCGTTTTGAAACAGTTGCTTGGATATGCAGGAGGCCTCTGCAATGGCTTCTGGACAACACAAAATTGGTCCTCGTTTGTTGCCATAACTCACTGGCCACATCTAAGAGTCATTCCAGTTTATTTGTGAACTTTGTGCATTCAAAACAGGGGGAGGGGAAGGGAAAATAAGGCAGGGGGGAGAGAATATGCTTCCTTCCAAATGGAGCCGGTAGCTCAATGAGTCCTTCCCCTCCCCTGAATTGTGTGGACTTCCTTCACTTTCTCTAGCCATTGCATGCTTCCCTGGACATTTTAGAAACACAGGGATCACCTCAGGGTGAAATCCAGCAGGTTCTGGAGAACCGGTAGCAGAAATTTTGAGTAATTCGGAGAAGTGGCAAATATCACCTCTGGCTGGCCCAGAGTGGGGTGGGAGTGGGGATTTTGCAATATCCTTCCCCTGCCACGCCCACCACACCACGCCCATCAAGCCACACCCACAGAACCGTAGTAAAAAAAATTTTGAATTTCACCACTGGATCACCTCCTGATCATCCAGCGGAAATACAGATGACTCAACAGTCTGTAGAGATGCTCAGTCATCCAGGTCATTCTTGTCCCAAAGGTTTTTCAGGAGGCAACTGGACTTTCTGGGTTTTTTTTTTCTTTGAAGACTTTGGCTTCTCATCCAAGAAGCTTCTTCAGCTCTGACCGATGGTAAATCCTTCCATTCCCCCACCATCCAGTCAGAGCTGAAGAAGCTTCTTGGATGAGAAGAGAAATGTCTTCAAAGAAAAAAAAAACAAGAAAAGTCCAGTTGCCTCCTGAAAAGAAATACCTTGGAAAGATCTTTTAATTATATTGTTTTTATTTGTTTCCTAGTACGATTTGATAGCTTATAAGTAACCTTGACTATCAGTAAGTGTTGGATCTTTTTACTCTTGATGAATGTATTTTATTCTCCTTATGTACACTGAGAACATATGCACCAAAGACAAATTCCTTGGGTGTCCCAATCACACTTGGCCAATAAAAAATTCTCTTCTCTTCTCTTCTCTTCTCTTCTCTTCTCTCTTCTCTTCTCTTCTCTTCTCTTCTCTTCTCTTCTCTTCTCTTCTCTTCTCTTCTCTTCTCTTCTCTCTCCTCTCCTCTCCTCTCCTCTCCTCTCCTCTCCTCTCCTCCCTTCCCTTCCCTTCTTTCTGTTCTATTTCTATTTCTATTTCTATTCTATTCTAATCACTCAACACTTTGCAGCTGGAGCGCTTGAAAACAGCTGGAATTTTGTTCTCAGGTTTTGTGTAAAAAGTTGGCCCTTCATCTAGACATGCTAAGATTGTGTGTGTGTGTGTGTGTGTGTGTGTGTGTTGTGTGTGTCTTATTTGTTGTCTGCATTTTGTCTCAAGGACTCTCCTTTTTGCTTTCAAGAAACCGGAGGATAATATCAAGCACACCAAACCTGGGCACTCATTCTTCCTTATATATATATTTGTGCAATTCAGTGTCCTCACTACCCCAAAAAAGAAATTCCCCTACAGCAGTGGTTCTCAACCTGTGGGTCGGGACCCCTTTGGGGGTCGAATGACCCTTTCACAGGGGTCGCCTAAGACCATCGGAAAACAAATATTTTCAATGGTTTTAGGAATAATTTTATTGTTGGGTCACCACAACATGAGGAACTGTATTAAAGGGTCGCAGCATAAGGAAGGTTGAGACCCACTGCCCTACAGGGAAATGTTCATGCACTCACAAACCTCATCCCCACCCTGTGTCTTAACAATGAAACTGGGTTTTCTGTTTAATTAAAACGTGTTGTTTAAACAAAAAACAAAACAAAATAAAAATCCCGAGGAAACCGGGCAGAACCTGTTAAATATTCCTGATCTAATTTTAAAAGGTGCATGTCCAAAAGGGGAGCAAGCAAACCTCCTCTTTCAAGATGCTTTTCCAGAGGGATCGGCTCTAACGTTGTGAATATAATTCTAACCAAACTGAATTTTCATGACCAAAACACGTTTTCATCAACCCATTTACAATCAGTTTTGTGCTGCCATCTAGTGGGAGATGGATGCAATGCCTCAGACAGAGCCCCCCAAAAATACCTCTGCATCCTTTTCCTCTCACCTTTTCAATCGCTGGGTTTTCAGCCCGAAAATATCAATAAAACTATTTAATTATTGAAATACAGAATGCAGGAAGGGGAGAAGAATTCCTTAAATTTTCCCTGTCGGCTCCACCCACGACTCTCCTGCCAATGTCCAACTAAACTTGTCCAGTCTTTCGTTGAGTATTTGTCCTATAAGTAGTTCTCGACGTATGGCACAAGAGGGCAGGGGTGAAATGCTACCGGTTCAGGCAGGTTCATCAGAATCGGTAGTAAAAAAATTGCTACCGGTTTGCCGAACCGGTAGTTAAAAAATGATTTTAAAAGTTTTTTAAAAGTTCCGACGATCGCAAGTCGCTTAGCTGATCTTCGGAACTTCTTTTTTTTTTAAACTTTTTAAGCATTTTTTTTAAAAACTTTAAAATGTTTTTTAAAATGCTTTAAAAAGTAAAAAAAAAAAAAGCAGGAAATCCAAAAGCGTTTGTTTGGTGCGGACTGTGCATACGTGCACAGCGTGCGTCTGGTGCGCACCACACATGCAGCGAACCAGTGGCCACGGGCGGAGGATTTCACCACTGCAATAGAGGCTGGAAAATTCGTTACTAAGTGGGGCAATCATTCAGCGAGGCATCACAGGAAGACTTGTCCAGGCAATCTCCAAGAATCAGATGCAATGGAAAGGACTTTCTTTCTTTCTTCCCTTTCTTCCTTCCTCCCTCCTTCCCTCTCTCCCTCCTCTATTTTCCTTCCTTCCTTCCTTCTTTCCTCCCTCCCTGCCTCCCTCCCTCCTCTATTTTCCTTCCTTCCTCCCTCCCTGCCTCCCTCCCTCCTCTATTTTCCTTCCTTCCTTTCTTCTTTCCTCCCTCCCTGCCTCCCTCCCTCTGTCCTTCCATTCCTTCCCATCTCTTCCCCTCCCTCCCTCCCTTCCTTTTCTTCCGTCTTTCCTTTCTTCCATCTTTCCTTTCTTCCTTCCTTTTATTTTTGATTTCACATATGGCAATCACAAGATTGCAGGATGCTATGAATGACGTAAGAGTAAGCTGGTTTATCCAGCACTCGGATTGCGATTATGTGACACAGTCACAATGCCACTGTTGTGATGCGAGGACCGTAAGTCCCTGTTTTCTTATTAGCTATTTTCTTACCGTATTATTAGCACCGTCGTAACTCTGAACGATCGCTAAACGAATGGTCGTTAAGTGAGGAAGGAGTACCTGTGTTTCTTTTCCCAGCTTCCCTCTCTCGATTTGCAGTACAGCCAACCGACAGTTACCCTTTTCGTGCCCGACACATTGCAAGCAGGCTGGCCTTAGCAAGCCGCGCCATAGACATAATTCCATGTAACGCACTGCCTTCCATACTCCCAGGCTTAAAAAAATAATAATAATTCCTTCCGCAAGACTTACAAACGCAGACGTGGCTCCACGCATCGGACGAAGTAGTCGAAGTCGTCATCTTCTTCATCCCAGCTTCGCCAAATGTGCTTATAGAAAAACCTGCCAATCCCATAAAAAAAGTGAGCTAAGAGACTTCGTGTTTTCACAAGGCAGGGCAGAGGCAAAACTATGGATCTGGTTGACTTAGCACTTAAGACTTATATACCGCTGCTCCATATAGTGCTTTATAGCGTTCCCTAAGCGCTTTACAGAGCCGGCATTCCCCCCCCCCCCCACCCCCCCCCTCAACAATCTGGGTCCTCATTTGACCGATCTCGGAAGGATGAAAGGCTGAGTCAACCTTGAAGCCGGTCAGGATCGAACTGCTGGCAGTGGGCAGAGTTAGCTTGCCAAACTGCATTCTCACTACGCTACCATGGTTCTTTAGCAATACCATTTAGGCTTATATATTGGTCCACAGTACTTTGCAGCCCTCTCTGGGCGGTTTACAATGTCAGCCTCTTGCCCCCAACAATCTGGATCCTCATTTGACCGACTTCAGAAAGTTGGAAGGCTGAGTCAATCTTGAGCCCGTCAGGATCGAACTGCTGACAGTCAGCAGAGTCAGCCTGCAATACTGCATTCTAACTACTGTGCCACCACAGCTCTGTCACATGTTACATTAAACCCTGGCTTGCCTTAATCATTGGTCACTGAGCATGTTGCCCCCAACAGGTGTTCACAGAATGCCCCAAATCCAGCTCTAAACTACATTTGGTGTCCTACAATGTGTAAATCTTTCCTAATTGAGTCCTAATCAGAACCATTCTGGTTTCATCCGAATATTAATTTTTAAAATTCTCTTATCACCCTACGTAGATTGAAAGTTTGATCCAGTGGCTAAGGGAGCAGGCCTGTGAATTCCAGTCCTGTCTTAAACATGAAAGCTGGCTGGGTGACTTTGGGCCAATCAGCAGGAGATGGTGAGTTCTAGTCCCACCCTAAGCATGAAAGGCAGTTGGGTGACTTTGAGCCAATCACCAAGAGAGTCTGAGTTGTAGTCCCGCCTTAGGCGCAAAAACTGGCTGAGTAACCTTGGGCCAGTCACTTTCAGCCCAGCCAACCTCACAGGGTTGTTGTTGTGGGGAAAATAGGAGGAGGAAGAAGTATCATGTAGGTTTGCCGCCTTGAGTTATTTATTAAGTAATAAAGGCAGGATAAAAATCTAATATCTATAAAAGCCATCGCTCTGCTAAACAAATAATTCCCTCAACACTGTCAAACTATTCACTAAGGCTGCATTACTATCAGTATTAGGCTTCTCATCGTTCCTATCACCCATCTCCTTCCACTTACGACTGCATGACTGTTAACTTTGTTGCTTGTATCCTTATGATTTATATTGATATTGTCTCCTGATTGCTTATTTGTACCCTATGACCATCATTAAGTGTTGTACCTTATGATTCTTGATGAACGTATCTTTTATGTACACTGAGAGCATATGCACCAAAGACAAATTCCTTGTGTGTCCAATTACATTTGGCCAATAAAGAATTCTGTTCTGTTCTGTTCTGTTCTGTTCTGTTCTGTTGTTCTGTTCTGTTCTGTTGTTCTGTTCTGTTCTGTTCTGTTCTATTCTATTCTATTCAGGATGAGATAAAATATCAAATAAAAATATCTACTTAGATCCAATATTTTTCTTGCTTTCACACAAATCCACCCACTCATGTTAAAACGTTCGCTTCACCTTTTTCACATTTCCAAGACAAATGAGAAGCACCTTTATACATCTTAAGAACAATTTCTCTTGATGATTTGTACCGATGGTGTGTGTCGTTTTATAAAAATTCTCTTTTAACATTACAAGATCGTGTGAATTTCAAAGCTATTTAATGTCTAATCCTAACCCCGGTATTTTATCCTGACTTCTGGCGGGGCCAGCTTTCTGTATTTCTTCGCTTTCCCTTTCATTTCTTCACCGGTGTTATCGCCAGCTTTCACACTTTCACCCTGCAGCGAAAGTGGAAAATCGCCATTGTAACAGGCTCATTATCTTGTTTCAATATTACTTCCTGTCACTGGCAGGGGGTCCCTCGCAACTTGGCAAAGAAGTGTGATCAACTCACAATCCTATTTAAACTACGAAGGGGAGGGAGAGTTTGAAACTTTGGCATGGCAAAGTTTCTTTCTTGCAAGCTACCAAGCCCAACTCAAAAAGGACCAGCTGTGTTCACACACAACATGCCGAACCCAAAACTCACCAATCGCCTTTTGGTTTAGCAACTTGGTGGCGCAGTGGTTAGAATGCCATATTGCAGGCTGACTCTGCCCTCTGCCAGCAGGTCGATCTTGACCAGCTCAAGGTTTTCTCTGTCAAGTTTCGAGGTCGTCTCAAATAAATTGCATTTCGAACAAAACTCCCATTTATTAAGCACGACATTCTGAATCCGACTCCAATTGCAGCCAACACTGACTTCCAGACCCCAAACCCTCCCTTTCCATTCCCCACTCCTCTGCACTCATTGGCCATCTTCCAAGTCACTCTACCCCTAGCTACTGCTCCAACTCAAAGGAATTTCCTCC